ATTTGCACGCGCTCTTCCAACTAATATCTTCCGACGAATTGTGCGTATCTCAACGAACTTGTGAATTTACAACATGTTAATTGACTTAATTTCTTAAATTGATATTCTTATTAATAAAGATTATCGTATTTATCAAAAATTGGAACGTTGATTCAGGCCAATAAACGAGCAAAAAAGTTTTTGGATGTTGGTATAAATTAATATATTTCAAATTTCGACCAAGTTATGTCGAAACGATCTCGAAAAATTTTTGTAAAATTTGAAATATATTAATTTATACCAACATCCAAAAAATTTTGTGCTCGTTTATTGGCCTGAATCAACGTGTACTGATTTTTGATATATATTCTTATATTTATGCAATACTTTGTTTTAATTTATAACTGTGTTATCTTATAGTTTTGAAGAGAAACAATTACGTCACACTTCGTGTGTGGCTGCGGAAACATCGTTAATCTCGTCGAGTCTTTCGTAAGTGAGAGACGAAAGTGGAATTCCGATTGACGTGAAAGAAGTGCGAAAGAGCGTCTGTGAATTCTGCCGTTGCGCTGCAATGTCGCACTCTCGATGAAGAAAACTCGCGCCGCGTTTAAAACTTTCTAATACGTGGAAACAAATAAAGGTGCAACAGGATTGCAAGCGCAATTAATTATCGCCGTAGCGAAAAAGTCGCTCGTATCTTGGGCGAGGAAGGCGCCTGTTTGCTCGGCTCTTTTGCCAATAAATCAATCGAATTTGCGACGAGGAGGAGGGAAGAGGCAGGGGGGAGGGGGAAGGAGGAGGCAGGGTACCTACCGACGAACGTAGCGTCGGAGTGCATTTGACGGTGCACTTATCGTCGAACGTGCGAGAGATCTCCGCGCGCTCGTTTTTCTCGTCACGGAGAGGGTAAGGCGGAAAGAGGATTAGATAGAGGCGAAGCTATCTAACGTACGCAATCTTTAAAACGGGCTATATTTAATGCCGCGAGATTTAATGCAGGGTCGACACAATGCATTAAATCCGGGCTGTTAACCGAATTGGTCATTGCAAACATACAATATCGCGTGTGATACAAACATCACACGTTATATTTTCCGTTTATATGATATATCACTGCGTACATCACGAAAAGAGCTTTTTTTTTGCAATAAAAAAGAGCCCGTGCGTTTGTTTATTGTTAGATTTTTCGTTTCGAAAAAGGCCATTACGGGATAAATTATAGTCCCGAATGTTCCTGACCGCGCTGTGTTTTATTAGATTCGGTATTATAACTTCTCCGGGAAGGAAAAATAATTGCGCGCTGCGTTGTATTTCGCGTCTCGTTGCCGGCATATAGGCAGCCATATCTCTATTTAATCTAATGGAGTGAAGTAGATTGGAAAACGAAATTGGGACGACCTGGGTTGTCGGGCGAAGCGAGAGAGAGAGAGAAGAGATTCGCGTCCGCGAAGCACGAGCTACGGCTTCCTAAAGAATTAACGCGCGTCCCCTTATTTATAGTTATCGCCATTTAAAGCATATTTCCTGGCCGCGGGTACGACCGCGCTGAAAATTTAATGCCTTCCGCTCCGTCCCTCCTATGGCGGGCCGTGCGAGAATCGGCACCGAGGGCAACACAATGTGCCGGAGAACCGTTAATCGCCGTCCTCTCGTGTCGTGCGCCAGAAGCCAAGGCGTTGCGCGCGATGCAACGGTTCTTTCTCTCTTTCTCTCTCTCTTTCTCTCTCTCTCCTCGTTCGAAATTTTGTTGTCATCGTTTCAATTCGCGACTAATTAAATCCGAGTAATACGGCGGACATAACAACACGCGGAGCCCACGCAGGGAAATTTGAAACAGTGTGTATTTCTTTCTGTTACGAGCCTCCGCGTGACGTCACGAGTGTCACACGTGCTGCTGCCCGCCGCGTCGATGCGCGCGTAATAATTCATCCCTCACGCGCATTCGGCGGCAGCGGCAGCGGCAGTGGCGACGGCGGCGGCGGCGGCGGCGGCGACGGCGGTGGCGGTGGCGGTCGTCGCGCGCTCGCGTCCCGCTGAAATTGGTGCCGCACATAAATTGTGCCGGCGAAATTACAGCGGCGCACAAAGTACGGTGGATTCTACATGTAATTACACTGTTTCGCCCTAAATGATACCGGCTAACTGACATCACGCTAAACGCGGAGCACTAACGTCGAGTCGCTTGACGACGTTACTACTTAGAAGCGGGGCTCTATGCTGGCGGAATTGCCGGTGCCACTCGCGCTTCGTGCCGCCCGCTCGTTCTCCCTCCCGCTCCCCCCCTCCCCCTTCCCGTGTCTCACCATCGAGTTCGACGTGTTTCGCCGTTTAAGAACAGAGAGAACCAAGTAGAGAGTGCATATATACGCGTCACGTTCGTGGCCGGGGAGAACCTTGCGCCATGCGTAAAAGCACACTGGCTGCCGAGGCATCACAGTGTGCCGTAGTCACGCTCGCTCTTTGTTTCGAGCGAGCGCGCGAGGTCGTTGTCCCAATTCTCGACTCGTGCCTGTGTCGTCGTCGTCGTCGTCGTCGTCGTCGTCGTCGTTGTTCGTCATCGATAGAGATAACGGCGATAACTCACGATTTAGCGACGCGCCGCCGGCAAAGCTAATAAATTTCTATGCAGGCTGTACAACGAAAAGAGTCGCGGCGCCGCGCTGGTAAAAGATGGAAAAATTATTATTATCCTTTGATGTATATTTCCCCTCTTGTATTGAACAGAGAGGCAAAGTCATAATCCGATATCGTATTTTATGGAGGTAAATTTTATTTATTCCTCGCGAACCTTCCGTCGCTTTTACGGCTTCTACGCTATCGCGTATCTGCGTTATTTGATGCGATACGCGTGTTGTTAAAATAAACATTTTTCATGTACGTTTGTATGCGGATCCGGATTTAATGTCGCCGATAAAAAAAAAAGAGCAGCAGCATGCGGCGATGAAGGTTTTCCCAAGTTTCGCATTGATTGCGAGATTCGATAATTCGCTACGAATAAATCGAATTTGTGCAGTTGTAATTCCGATGCGTTTTACGTGTTCGATCGAGAAGCACCGACGCCCGAAATTGAAAATGCGCGAGCTCAGGTGCGCACCCTCGTAAATAATCTCCATGCCATCTGTCTTAATAGGTGGCCTGGCTGGCTTTACTGCTGGTGGAGGAGCGAACGAATGCGGAGATATATTCGTGTGTGTGTGTGTTATGTGTGTGTTTGTGCGCAGCGTGAATAAATAAACAATCCGGTGCTCCGGCTGCATTTAATATTCCGCGAGGCAGCGTGCATATGCGACGATCTCGCGACCAAATGTCACGGTTTCGGACATACGTGTCACATGGAAAATGGAAAATCGTATAAATAAATATAAATGCATCATTGATTCGCGCCCATGGCCGATCCCGTGACGTTTCGACGTCCGAGTTTATATCGCTGCGAGAACTTTTTCCGAAGTAAGATAAATGTGTGAACCCAGACGGAGAAATATGTGAATTATATTATGTAGTCAAAACCTATACCATGAATGGCATGAATTATATAAGTTACGCCTTATAATAAACAACAGACAGCGTATTTTTTTTTTAGAATTGTGTCAAGTCAAATCGGTCGATAAAACCGATTATGAATATTAATAGGCAAAATCAATTTGTCAAACGATTTCTCTCTGTTAATAGATTGTTTTATTATTTATTATAATTTTTAATGTAAGAATTTTACTTTATTTTTAAGCTAATGACAATCATTACCATTTACTAATTCACAAAAGCCATTTCCTGGAATTAAGATTTTAAATGGACGGAAGCGTATTTCGGAATGTTTCTCTAGGATGATGCAAACAGACGATTTCCATTATTGTTTGCCGTGGAAAGCGGAAAGCGCTGCCGTTTAAAGCCAGCCGTTCCGTCTGGCGGAAAAGCGAGTGGGGTGACGCTTTGTGAACATCACATGAAATCCACCTTCGGGGGTGCATTCGCGAATTCGGGTCGGTTTCGTACCGTTTGCAAATTTTAAGTGCCGTTTCCGGCTCTTTGACGCCTTTACGATCGCGCGAGGGATTTTTCCCGTTCTTTCTGCTGTCACAAGTGCGGCAGGAACGCGGACGGACGATTTTCAACGGCATGAGGCGTGAACGTTTTTAGCAACTTTGTTTATGGATTACGAAATGACGACGTTGCTCCGCTTTGTTAAATCGAGATCGAGCTGCAATAATTTTTAGCTGTTTTTTTTTTTAACGGAGTATTTTAGTGTATAAGACTTGTTTGGATTTAGTGTACGCAGATTAGATGCACTAACGAATGATAACTGAATCTATATAGCGAGAGAGAGAGAGAGAGAGAGAAAGAAAGAGAGAGAGAGAGTAATATCTTTAATTAATACAAGCTAAATTTAATTAATTAAAAGATAAAGTATCTGCGAATACTTCGGAATGGGTATTTCGTATGCAAATTTATTCGAAGTGCCCGAATAACGCAGCTACTCGAGCGTTTCGCGATTGTGTAGTCGCATGCGCGGTTTGTCGTGTACACGGGAGAGCGCATACACACGGCGGCGTGCCAGAGAAAGTACAAGACGAAAGGAGCGAGAAAGACCGGAGGGGGCACGACGCTTTCCAATAATTTCTGCGCTTTGTTGTAAATTCCCCCCCCGCTAATTCGTGGTATTTTCTCGCTGTATTTTATGAGCGGCTACCGGCTTTGCCTCGCAAATTGTTTCCAGGAATTCTCCGTACGCTGTTAAATTACTGTACTTTCACATAATATGTGTGGTGGATTTTAGCTCGGCGCGCGGCGTGCCGTGCCGCGCCGCACTTCAACCCAGAGGAGTCTAGCCTCCTCATTGGAATTTTGCGTTGCGCTCATTTTCCGGGAGAATTTTATTTTATTTTTTTAAGCTAATCCCTCTTCTTATTACATACAAAATAGTTTTAACTTTTTGCCTTGCGCCCACCCTCCCCCTCCCTTCCCACCCTCCCTCCGCCGTAAGTCAATGACGTTTTCTAGAGATGTTCAATTTTCTGTTTCAGGCGATCGCGACGCTACCAAAACGGCCTCTGGTGAGTGAATAAAGTTATTTGTACATACAATCTTTTCCTTCTCATTTTTCATCAGTATAATAATGTTCGATTGCTGCAACGACTGAAATTATATCGTTAAGATGCATGACGTATATATGCGGTCATTTAATATGACGTCAATGAGAATGTCGTAAAAGTGCAGTTTGAATGATGAAAACGAAATTAGTGTGTCGCGTTGCAGCGTGCATTTCACTCGTCTCGAGGTGAAAGAAACGTCGGAATAGAGACGTGTGTTTCCAAAACCGGTCGTCATTTAAAAATTTACGACTACGATGGGCTGGCGTCCCGAGGCACGTAAAAGCGAAATGCTTCAAGCGATATAACACCGCCGCGAATCGATCGTCCTCCCCTCCCCCCCTCCACCGAATTTCCATATACTATTTTTAATTTCGCATAAAACTCGCCACACCCCTCTATCTCTCTCTCCCCTTCGGAAATATCGTAAATAAACGCCGAACAAAAAACGAATCTTGCGGTGGCCTGATACGATATTTCCGAAGCTATTTGGACGTTTTTGATAGTCCATTAAGCGAAGCACGTCGCATCTAAAAGTATTTAAGGAGCACTTACGGGATGGCTGTAAATCGCTATCGCGATCGCTCTTTAGTAAAATCTCTTGTAAACAACGGAAAGAAAATGTTTAACATTGGAATTAGGACTTATTATCGGCAAATGAGTGTTAACGAAAAGCTGTAGATCAACAACGTCGAACCCAAATCAGCAACCTAACGTTTTACTATCGATGCGAAAGCCGAAGCCGATAGGTGAAGGGAGAGATACGTGTGTGAGCGCGCGCGCGCGCGCGCGAGACGGGCTTTAACTACCCCGGAGAAGAACGAGGGAACCGCCATTAGTTCAAAAGTTTTCCCAACAGTCTGTCAGTCTGTTTTCGTCGACGCGCTTCATCTTATTCCGGTGAGCGTGCACCGACGATTGTCTTCCGCTGGATTTTCGTCGAAACTTTTGGGAGGACTCAACGAATCACCACCGGGGTTGTCGTCGATGGAGATCGACGATCGGAGATCGCTTTTCCGATTCTCTTTCCGCGATAAATAAGAAGAAATCTTTATACGCGGACAGAGTGTGAATAGGTCATAATGTTTTTCTTATCGATACCGCACGCTCGACGCGACACCGCCAGTTTTCGGAACTCGCGAGGAATTTAGTAACTTAAAGCATTTAAACGCTTCAGTTATAATTTAAAGCAGTTAAATGCTCTAAGTTATTCAAAGATTAATTTATTGTTATACATGTTGAAAAGTGCTCATTGAAAGAGACCGTTTTATTGCATCTCTCCTCGTCACTTTAACCGTCTGAATAGTTAAATGATAATTATTTATCCCGAGCTACATCCAGCTTCTTATACATTACCTTCGTGTTTAATATATGACAGTATAAGTCATTTATGACTATTAAGACGGGACTGTAAAATCGATCTGCGATAATTTTTTTAATTTCTTGGTAACGCGAGTATTAAAGCTGTAAATGTTTATGGCGTCTGCATATATATGTCAGCCTCGCGGTGCAACGTGGCTCTCGCGACGTGAACGCACAAGTTAATACATTCCATTGTGAGCACCAACGGTGCCATCGGCGGCAACGGTATAAAGCCGGTGTTAATATTTGATTTGCCGGTTGCTGGGCGGCGATGCGCATGCCCGGCGTATCTTCGAACACCCTCCTCGCGTTCCACCCCCTTAAATCTCCGCCACCCTTATCCGTCTCCCTCGTCTCTCCTCCCACCTCCCCCTGTGGAGAAACTCGTATTTACCTATCTGTCGCCGCTCTCAATAGACGGGATTTAATGCCGGGCGGTTGCCGGCGCGGGTAAACTCGCGTCTTGTGTCTCGCGGATAAGAATTATTTCGTTCGTGCGATCTGGTTTTGCGGCCGACGAGTTCAACGATCCCTCGCGTACAACAACTCGCGCGATGGTACGATATTTTATTTCGGATAATTTTGGCCGGTGTTGCTAACGTCTGGCGGTCGATATACCGCGATAATTTTGATGCAGTCGCGAGAGAGAGGAGGAAGGTGGGGGGGGGGAGGGGTAGAGGAGAGGGACGGAGAGAGAGAGAGAGCGCACGGTGACACCTCGGAAATTGTCGATCGGACTTCACGATGAACTTGCTATTCCCGTCCGTCCTGCCCTTCGTCGTAGCGCCTCGCCAACTCCCCGTGGAGGGTTAAACGGTGGTTCGCGTCGAAACTTTTTTTTTCCTTTACATTTATAAAACGCGAGTATCGATTAACCTTTGTGAGTGACGTGGCGAATTTACCAATCGTGCTTCTTTTTTTAACGGAGATTTATTAATACCTACGCTCTCTTATGTGGCAGAAAACGGTCTATAGACTGCGATCAAGCGCGTAACTTTGTTTTTACCTACTTGCCCGACACTTTCCCATGTAAAATGCATCGTGATGCATCTGTTGTACCACGTCGGTCACTAACGTATCATTGCGCGCCTCCTCGCGGGTTAATATTTAATATGTCGTCTAACATTGTTAGAACAGGAAGGACTGACGGTGCTAAGCCAGCTATTTCAATGCATAAATTTAAATCCTTTGAAACTCTAGTTCTCTGCTTATTAAAAAAAAAAAAACATCTAAATTTTACATGACTCGCGCTCTTATACGGCGCTACTCTCGCCAAGAGAACGTTGAATAATTTTCGCGGCGGATATTACAGCAGAATATTTTCACATTCAGACAGAATGATCTCTTTGCATCCTCCAAATAGAAAAGAAAAACGTTAAGAATTCATTGTCATGTTTAGGATACCTGAAACATGTAAATGTGTCAGGAGTATTTAAATGTATCTTCCTCCCTGGTAAGAGAGCCGAACGTTTCCGTTCGTCGGAAAAATTATTTTAACGATTACTCCGTTAACGCTGTCTCTGAGAAACGCTGCACGAAAGCAGATGGTCGCGGAGGGATTTCGTAACGTAGAGAGAGAGAGAAAACCACCGAGCCCGAAAATAGACGACTTTGCGGGCGCGCGCACGTCCTCGCTTTGTACGAGGAAACGAGAGGCCTGTCAGCTGATTGGACGAGTGCCAATTTTTGGTGAATGAACCGACGATCTCGTGTCTCGAATACACACCCTCTTTGGTAGTTTGCCCTCGTCACGGCTCGCGTCCGGTCGCGAAAGATATGAGATCTTTCTTCTTTCTTTTTTTCTTTTATCAACCAACGCCTACGAAAAATGCGATCGATTTCGATACTTGAGAGAGATGTAGTATCTCTCGATTCGCGTAATAGAGCGAGAAATGCAGGCTCGAGTGTTACGCGTCGGTTACTCGCGCGATTCAGGTTTTCAGGTATTGAAGCGGATATTTCCCTTTTTTTTTGTAATCGATATATTCACGAAATTATCAAAAGAGCGATATCTACGTAACGTGTATTATGAAATCATTAACGCGATTGTAACGTGTCGAGAAACTTATTCAGATATTAGAACTCGTAGCAACGTCACAGAATGAACTTGACCAGCTCGACGTCAAATGTCCTCCAACTGCGAGTTGACTCGTCCTATCGAGTTAAAGGATTAACGCCTATGTCTACCCCGAGAGGCGAGAGGCGTGCCCATTACCGCGAGAGGCGGCTTTGATATGCTAATAAAGAACCAGTAACGCGATCTCGATGTCAGGATTATTGTCGCCCGATAAAGACGTTAGAGGACACGGTACCCCGAAAGAACAACCGCGCGTGTGACATGCGCGTAAAAAGCCAACAACAGGCTTTACGCCCCGCGGGCCTGCCGATGCCCCTGGGAAGATAATGAAATTTCGCATGTGCGAGAATCGAAAATCATCTCCTTTGTGCGTCGGGAGCCGAGGTCGCTTAACGGAACACCCGGGAGGATCGCTGCCGATAGAATCTCACGGGTCAACTCGACGAGCTGGGATGCTGCGTGAGGGCCTTTTTGCAACGGACGCACAAGAGACGGCCGTGCATGCAAATTGCAAATGGCCGAATAAAAACACATACGTTCGCGCGTACGTAACGTAATATTCTTATATGTGATGCAGCCTTCGCGCGGAGGAAGATTAACGTGTTGCATTAAAGAAAATAAAGACATGGAGGTGTTGCGTTGGAGGAAAATATAGAGGTATTAACTCGGCGGATTTTACAGGACGGAGCGCGACGTGAAAATTTTCGCTGCAGAGACGAGAGAGAAAGAGAGAGAGAGACGGGATTAGTCGAGGGATCTTGCCGCGCGGAATTTCAGGGGTATAGAGCGCAAAATACATCGGTCTCCATCTCTACGTCCCGCTTTATTTTAGACGCGCACTATCACGTACATCCTGACCGTATCTTCTATTCATTGAACCGTAAAAGGGTGGGGGAAGGGGGGACGTGCACCGGCACCGGTTTTCTCTATATTATCGCACTTCCGGCCCCCGTATATATTCTCCCGCGTTTATTTATTTGCGAATCCGTTAGACTTAGCTACCGAGAACTCTATTACGCGCACGAGCGTCTCCTTGCCGGCTGGACTGGCCGCAATGCTTCTTGGCACGTAGAGCGGGTCAGGGCTGGTGGCAGCGATACCACCGCGATAACCTTGCTCGATAAGCGTGGCGGCTTGCGTTTCCGTTAAGTCGTGCATCCTGCCGCGAATTGAGCTATCTGCGAGTTAGTATCAAATGCACGAAGTCACTACAGCTACACAATAGGAAAAAGGAATTTAATCACTCTTTAATGCCGGTGGAGCTGACGTGACGGTTTTATTGGCGAGCTGCGAGATGTTTCTTTCGTGATTAATATTCTCGATCATAGAATAAGATTGACTTTATAAATTGCTGTCTCAGAATTTTATAAAGCATCAGTATTATATTTTTTTTTGTTTTTTCTTCGTTATTTTTGTATGTATTTTTTCCCGCTACGTATTATTAGTACAAGAAATAGAAATAAATGCAAGAATAAAAATCGCTTCTTAATCTGCTAACGTAGAACGTAGCTTATTTATTACATTT